AGTCTTTACTAAGGTAGGGATTCTGGAGGAGTTTAATTTTAAATATATTGATTTAAATGATTTATTTGATTGGCCAAAAGAGGTAGTTGCTTGTGTAGAATGCTGCCAAGAGGTCAAATTAGGTAAAGGATATTTTGAGAGAGATAATTTTCTTCTTTCTGAGCAAACAAATAACTTTTGTGGGTGGGTGGAGGGAAGGGCTTATTGTATGCTTAGAATGTGAGATGAGCAAGTAGAAGCCAGTTCTACAATAGATTGGTAGAAATATTAAGTAGACCTTTAAAAATTCATAGTTAATGACCTTGTGGGAGTAAATATATAAAAAGTGGCATTTTACATGCAAAATATTTTTGTGATATAAGCTGGTTACTTCAGGACTATAAAATCACAGTAATATTCTGATATTAATATTTCACACTACTCAGATACCGTTAATGTACTTAGCTCATACCGTAAAGCTAGTGCACTTCTCTTCTGATGAACTTTGAAGGGAGGCAACACGGTGAAGCCAGTTTCAGATCCACAATAGCCAAAAGGATTCAGCCACGAAAACAGAGAATATGAGGGCAAATTCTCTTGTTTTTGAAATTAAGTGGTTACAAGGCCCTCTGAAAAGAATTTACTAACTTGCCCAATGGCTGTGGGGAGAAGTGCAGATTTGCCTTTTGGTGCTCAGGCTGAACCAGGTGGTCACACTCAGTTATTTTAACCTGTACCCAGTCTAGAACCTTCCCAAAACACTGCAGTAGGTTGGAGTCTAACTTCTACTGTGCCTGCCTCCTTTACACACAGGCACTTGAATTTTCATGGTCAGGTCTCTCAAATTCAAGGCCTCGCAGGAATGAAATACAATCCATGTGTGAGTTTGTAGGTTGGTGGGAGTTTGGGACGGAAGGCAGGAGGCTAGGAGAGTGCTTGGAAAGTGAACCACAATTCTGAAGTGTCATTTTAGCAGGGAGATATGTCTATACCACCAAGTCTTGTAACAGAACTAAAAGCAAGTGTGGATTTCCACCCTGAGATTCACCTTCTCCCCTACTTTCTTTCTCAGTACAAGTGCTCAATAACAGTCCCAGAAGCTCTGGCTTCAGAATCATCAACCACACTTGTTTAAGAGTTTCTGGGCTAGTAGAGAATGTTTGGGTTTGCATTCTAACTGGTTCTGGGTAATAATTATCATGCACATTGAATTTGGGAACCCCCCCTCTGCTCTAGAAGTTTAAAGAAAAGTATTCTGCCAGTTGGATTTTTCATACAAACTGGGGCTTCAGCTATTTTTACTCTACACTAGCACTTTGGAGTTAACACTGACTGGAGGTCAGTGTTTTTGCTTGATTTATCATCCCACTTTATTTTTATTTATTTATTTATTTATTTTGGTGGTACTGAGGCTTGAACTCAGAACCTAGGGTTTGCCAGGCGGGTGCTCTGCCACTTGAGCCACACCCCCAGCTCCTCATCTCACTTTATTTACATCTCAGTGTCTGGCATTCTATTGCCCAGCAAATCTTTATGGCATTCAAGGGACTATCACAATGGACTTTTTAACCATGCTCCTCTACAGTCCTTATACCACAACAGAACCCATATGAATCTGTAAATGTGGAAATTAGATCATGCACTTTCTTGCCTAATATTTTCCCAAACTTCCCTGAGGCCTTAGACTATTCAGCTCAAACCCAAAACTCCTTTAGCTGTTTAGGTTCAAACCTCATTCTATCCCACACTCCAGCTAAATGAAATTCTTTTAGGATCCTTCAACACACCAAACTCATTTTCCCTTTAGGGTTTTGCATAGCTTTCATTTGCCCAGAAGGCTCTCCCTACTGATAGCACATTCTAGACACTGGTCATTGTTCAGATCTGTGCTTATAGGAAATGTCCTTAGAGTACAAGTTTATAGTGGTCACCAAGTCATTATTTATCATACCCCTGTTGTAGTTTTTGGCTCAAACACTTATCAGCATCTGGTATTTTTTCTTGCTTACTTTTCTGTGTTTATGGTCTTGCCCCATTAATTAATTAATTATTATTTAGGATCTGCTTGGTATCAGTTACTATTCTTAGTACTGGAGGGGATAAAGTAGTTAAAAAAGTCTCTACCCTCATGGACAGGCAATCAACAAATAATATGTAATAAAACAGATGATAAAATTCTGTAAATAAAATAGAGAGTGATGGGGGTACTATTTTTGACGGGGTGGTCAGGGAAGTTATCAATGATGTGTGACATTTGAGAAGGAATCTAAAATGCAAGTCAACTGTAAGGAAACTTGAGCTTCTGTTTCATCCATCACAATACTCCCAGAGAGTTGATGTACATGGATAATCACACATACCTCTCTCTTGGAACATTCAATACTGCATTTACCCTTTGGCTTCCAAACTGGATTTTGAGTTTCATCAGTTTCTTTTCTAATCCTCAATATCTAACATGGGGTCTGCCATGAGAGTATTTGTGGAATAAAAGAAGAAAGTGGGAATTATGTGAATAAGACTGTCATAATACACTCAGGAACACCCTGAAACTACTGCCTGAGAAGTTGACATGTGCTTTCAGGAATCATGTGAATTCATTTCAACCAGTAAATTGTGCACATGAGACTCAGTGGTATCTGATTTGTAAGTGATCCCTTCATAAAACTAATTTCTTTCAAATCAGGTCTTGGCATATTTAAAAGCCAAAGAAATGATAGAGTACTCTCAGCCACTTTCTTTCTACCTTGATCTGCTCTTGCTAGTTCAGGCTATTTATAGCATATGTTAATAAATTGTAAAGACCTACAGACCAGTAGGCAGCTGAATCTTGCAGACTCCCAGAAAGGTGGATTTGGGCACTAAGCAGAAAACTGCCTAACTGAACTGTAACACAGGGCATTTCAGCACCTCTCTGTTTGAAAATAGATGAGCATTTCTAAGCTGCTACCAGACACAGTGACGATGACAAGCAATACCGAACACAGAAGAGGTCACTAACAGCCCAAAGTGATGCAGTCCCAACTGCAGCTCTGTGCCTCCTGCATGCTCTGAATGACACATTTATTCTCTTTCTCAAACAGAACTTGGAAAATTATATAGAAAACTAAGCTCCAGCCATATTTGTTACTAGCTAGCAGGTAAAATAGAAAAACTATAATGTCAAAGGTTAGAAACCATGCAATTAATTTACATTGCAAAGCATTTTTAAGGCTAGATCTAGAAAAAATAAAGGTCTTGATGGTGATAAAAGCTATTTGTCCATAGCCCTCAGGGTGCCTTTCCTCTTAATGCTACCATGTCTTGGACCGATGTCCTGGGTAAGTGAAGATCCAAGACTAGACCTCTGCTGTTTTAGCATCCTTAGCACCTGGCTGCTGTGTCACTTTTTCTAGCAAGATTTCACTCAACCTTTTCCATCTTAAATTCACTGAGGTTAGACTCTCAATACCTGTCAAGGTAAAAATTAAAAGGATAAGGTGGTGTTTCCTTAGAATTATTGGTATTTCTGAGATTACAGGGCCAAAAGTTTTTAGTGATCAAAGGAGTACTTCAAAAATACTGCATACTACATTGTCCACTTTGAGAGTCACAACACACATTGGAATGCATAAAAGAGCTAAAAAAAATTGGAAAAACCCCAAATAATTTTCAGTTAGGGGCTAGTTAAATGCATTCAGGATCAGTAATCAGCTGTTAAAAAGGTGATATAGAGCTCTACATAGTATTTATGAACACGTCTCCTAGACATATGCAATAAAGAGTCAAAATTTCTGAACATGACTAAAACTCCATTAAAACCCCCAAATCCTATGTGTGTATATAAGCTTTTATATAATACAATTAAATATATAAGAATTCTGAAAGGATGTATACTACATTATTAAGAGTGGTAACCTTTGGGGAATGGGATTGAAGGATGAGGGAGACTTGCACTTTCTACTTTATAGATTTGGATGTCATCTGAATTATTTTATAGCCCTTTTATAATATGAAAATCAAGTGTTATATTAAAAATAGACATAAAATGCACAGAAAATACATCTGTTGAACTTTAATGGAGCACTTTTCAAACTCATGGGGTCACTGAACCTCTCACATGTGAAACACTCAGAACTTGTGCAGCAAATTTTGAAGTTACTGTGCTCAAGACTCTTACCACCCCCATCAGCATATGGGTTTTGGCCTTCTGTGGCCATCTGTAAATGAGTGAAGGAGGTAGAAGACACCTTGGAGATTGCCTGGCAAATAATCACTACTCCATTATGCCAGGAGCCATTGTTGTTGTTAGAGCCATTGTAGGTTTAAAAGGGATACAGTGCTTGGCACACAGGTACTGCTAAAAATATTATTACTATTTCTCCTACTATTATTGATTTTAACATTATGAATGGCAATGGCCCAAGGAGACCAGTAAGTAATACGTACTGTCATCCCAATAATGACACATCAGAACAGACACACCAGGAGATATTAGGACAATTAATCAAAGATTTGACTGGGAATCAATGCTTTCTGGAACAAATACCCTTGTCCAGTCCAGACAGAGGACAGACTGACCCACTGGGAGCAGCAGGTGCCAGCTGCATTCTCCCTGACCCTGGGGGACCATACACATGGAGACAGTGTCCTGGTGCCCAAGCTTTTCAATGGCTTGTCTCTCAAAGTAATAATGCTTTGGCCTGGAACAGTAGCTTTCTGCCAAAAGTTCAAAGTTATCCAGGGAGTACCTCATTCATCTTTGGGATCCTTTGGTAGTGGGGTAGATAGGCAATGCTGCTCTCCCATTATAAAGATAGGAACATATCATTGAGAGTTACTAAATACTTTTTCTTTACTCCAACACTGTCAGCACTGAGAGAGGGCCTAAAACCCAGGAGGTGATTCCTGAGGCCCTGTGTTCTGGAGCTACCTTTGGAAACTCTATGAAAGATGTGTGAACAGCCAAGTTTGGGCAAGATATGGCCCCTTAGTCCTCTTCCCTCTTCTTATCCCTCCTTTGATCAGGTATCTACAAGGCTCACCTGTCACCAAACTGAACCTCTTCTCCATTCCTGGCCCAGCTGATGGTAGGCCTTGGGTTTCCTGTGGCCTCACAGTGTAGCAGCACACTCAGTGTTCCGCTGGCCAAGGCCACAGTCTGCCCCAGGTGGGTGACCACCTCAGAGGCTGAGAGCTGCTGTGCAGCTGAGATCTTCCGTAAGATGGTGGGCTTGCGGTGTGGCCTGCGAGAGTTGCCCCCAGCTTCCCCAGAGGTGGTCCTCAGGGAGCTGCTGAAACTGGACACATGTTTATGAGGAGGGATGGCCACAGGGGGGAACCTCTGCTCAGAAGGCTTGAGGAGTGTGTCCTGGTGCTCTAGGTGGCTACGGAAGATCTCCTGGGCCAGCTGGGCCACCAGGTACTTGCTGTAGAAGTCCCTTAGCTCCTCGGGCTGCTGGGAGAGGTTCCTGAGGATGTAATCTAGGCGCTTCTGTTCAGTCACCATGGTGAAGGGGAGATGCAGAAGAGCCTGCTCAGTGTTTGGGTCCTCCTCTGAGGACGTGTTCCTTTCCATGGAGTCCTGTACCTCCCATGAGGCCAGGAGCTCTCCAGGCCAGCCACCCTGCTCCAGCAGCCGGGAGACAATGTCATCATAGCGGCTCTCCAGGTCAGCGGCGAGACCCCGCTTCTCAGCCTTGCTGCCATTCAAGAAAATCCCATTCTGGTGTTTGTGGGTCTGTAGGGTCTCTTTTGGGCTGGCCTTCCTCACCGGGAGGGCCTCTTCCCTACTCTGTAGGCTCAGAGGCCGGTACACCAACTTGTGCTTGCCTCCAATGAGCTTAATCACAAACTGCTCCCGTGCGGGTCCTGCAGAACAGGTGTAGATGCCCGCATCTGAGGGCTTGAGGCGATGAATCTTTAGGTAGCCAAAAGGGGCCACAGTAATGTGAGCAGAGCTGATGAGGTGCTGCCCATCCTTCTCCCAGGTAATGAGGGGCTTGCGGAACCTGCGTGTGGGACACCTGAGCACCACTGCTGTCTTGGGAAGCAGGTAAGCGAATCCTCCCACGACGAAATGCAACTTCTTCTGCCTGCGTGTCTGGATGTATATATTCCTTGCAGCTGCGATGTAAGGACTGTGCTTTGTGGATGGCCGGCCAGGCCCTGGGACGAGAGGGAGTCCAGAAAGAAGAAGAAAAAGAGGGTGAGAGCAAGGAAAAATGAGAGTTGAGATGCAGTGACAAGAAAGGACAGAGGAACCAAAGGCATGACAAGGTTCTTTAGAGTTGATTTGGCCAGGGTCTATTTGCCCTGCCTCATGGTTAACCAGAGGAGCAGACTACCAGCTGTGGACCATCAAGCTGCCCCACCATCAAAAACCACAGCACTAATGAGGTGCAATGTGGTAACATGCTTTTCACCCTGCTGGGTCTTTGTGCCCCTAGAAGCTGAGATCTAGGTGCCAAGAGCCCAAGGAAAAGGCAGTTCCTTTCATTAGAAGCACTTAAAAGACAAATCAGACAAATGTCCTCTATTATCTACCTTTAGGGTCCTGCAAGGCACTCAGGGTCCTCATGTACACAGGGAGGGGAGCCCAGAGGTGTTACCACTCTGGGGATTAATATGAAGCAGAACAAATCTGTTTAGAGTACTTTAAAACCCCAGTGAATAACATTAGACCTCATTAGTAATATGCTGCCTTCAGCTACCAGACCTCTGTGTGCCAGCAAGTGAACTTTGCTCTACCGCCTGCAGACTGTTTTTCCAGTGGAGAAGAGAATCCAGCCTGGCCATGTGTGGTTAAGATTCCTTTTCCATCTCCAGCTGGGCTCTCCAGCCTGCAGTCCTCCACAGGGCTCTGCTGCCCCACAGCCTCTCACAGGTCTTGGGTTCAGAGAAGGCCACTGCGTGGTGGCTGTAGCTACTGTTATGTGGGATTCCATCTGCCCATCCCCAGCACACTAACATACTCACGTGCACAGGCTGCCAGCATGCAGGGCCTAACGGAGGAAGAGAAAGGCAGGGGTGGGCACAAGGTGGAATTGACAACTGTGGAGACCCCAGTTTTCAGCACCTTCCGGCAAATGGCACTTCGAGTCTGGGTGCCCTCCCCGCAGCTCGTGGAGCACTGATGGGAAAAGAAGGGACAATTGCATAAAAATTTGGGGACTTGAGGCTAATCATTGTTTTGTATGGACTCTCCAGCTTACTAAAATATGTTTGGAAAAGCAACAGACAGTATAAAAGAAACATTAGTTATGATAACAACAACAAGGAATACACATATATCTTATAGCCGCATTTCACTCTAAGATATTTTGTTGGTGGTCCTGGGGATTCAATCAGGGCCTTGCACTTACTAGGCAGGTGCTCTACCACTTGAGCCATGCCACTAGGCAAGATGTTTTATTCTAAGGTTTCCTATAGGCATCTTATCTGTTTTTAGTTATATGGCTTTGGCTTTAGAGTTACAGAACTACAGGGTCCTATGTTCAAATCCCAGCTCAGTATTTCAATAGTTGGCAAGTTACTTAAACTCTCTGTTCGTTTCTACTTCTTATGCTTATTTTGCAAGTCTTGGTGCTAAATGAGATAAAATGTTAATGCCATTCACAAATAACAACTAATGCTAATCCCCGTCTCTTCCCTTCACAAATAAATAATATTGTAATGCCTGCCATAAGATAATTGTTATGAATCTAAGTGTTTGAGGTGGGGTGCAAGACAGCTCCTAGCCTCAAGTAGCTGTCATTCAAATGAAGAAGAAAAATCAAAATGCATTGTTAAAAGGAAAGGGTATCCTAGGGAACTATAAATCAAAATGACAATGAGATATCACTTCATGTCCAGTAGACTGGTCATATTAAAAAAGACAGACAATAATAGGTGGCTGGTGAGGATGGAGAAAAATTAGGATGTTTATTCATTGCTGATGGGTATATAAAATGATACTGCTTCTGAGAACAGTTTATTGTATTTCTTAATTTATTTTTATTATTATTGTGCTGGGTGGGGGTATATTGGAGTATTTGCAAAAAATTCTTATAATGCATCAAATATATCATACTTGAATTCACCTCTTCTGCTTCTCTCTTTCATCCCTCTTCCCCGATTCCTGGAACAGTTTCAACAGGTATCATTTTTGCGTTTACTTATATGTATATACATTATTTGTGCCACCTTTCCCCAAACCCTGTGCCACCCACCCCTCCTCTGCCTCTGCTGAGAACAGTTTATAAGTTTAATAGATCCTATTAATAGTTTAGCTAATTTATAATTGCTCCTAGTAATTTTACTCTACACAAAGGAAATGAGAATACATATCCATACAAAGACTTGAATGTGAATGTTGGTGGCAGCCTTATTTATAATAGCCCCAAAGGGGAAACAACCAGTATCTATCAATTGGTGAATGAATAAACAAAGTATGGTGTAGCTATACAACAGACTATTATCCAGCCAGAAAAAGGAACGATGTTCTCATGTGTGCTACAACCTGGATAAACCTTAAAAGCATTAAGCTAAATTGAATTTATAATATGTAAATTAAACTTCAATAAAGCTGTTTGCAGAATTTAATAACTAAGGAAGGTACCAAGAATATAAAACTAGAAGACAAGTGAAATATTATAAGATTAATGCTAATGTTATTGAATGCTTACGGTACAGTAGGGGGTTCCTGACCTAGGTCCCGGAGATGGGTGGAGTGTGGGTAGGTATAGCATGGGAGGTGGGGAAATGCCCAGAACAAAGGCAGAAGAATTCAACATAGACATCCAACTCAGGCTTGGGGCAGAACTAAACCAGTTTTACTGAACGGAGAGGCCAAGATGAGGCTGTTCAGGAGCTTGTGAGGTAGCTTGGGGCCAGATGTTGGAGATCTTTAATGTTCAGACAGCAGGTTTGGATTTGTCCTCAGGGCAATGGGGAAACACTGAAGAGGGGAGTGACATGATGAAAAAGGTGTTGGGGAAGGTGAGTCTGGCAGCAGTGCGTGGAAAGCATGTGAGGCAGGATGCCAGTGGAGGAGCCGCCCTGCAGTCCAGGACTGGGATGATGAAGGCCTGAACTCAAGTCATGGCAGCTTGCCACATTAAGTTGAAAAATGATGGTAAGACACACAAAGCTATCTTATATTTTCAAGTGTTACATGCTAGCACATTGAAATGACATTAATCTGTGTGATGTGCTGTGACAGAAAGAAATCGAAGATGCAAAAGATGGTGATGAGAATCCAACCTATTACTTTTGTTGTCTGATGACTGTGGACTCCAGATTCCACCTGTCACCCTCATTTTATTGTAAATGACAATACTAAATCCAAAGATCAGGTGGGATGCGGGCAGGAAACCTTGGTCGTTTTAGTATTGCCAAACACTAAAAACAGAAAAATAGTCAAGCTGCAATACAGAAGACCAGGGTTGTAACTTTATCATAAGGTCTGGTACCTGAGAGCTTTGTTTTCCATACCTATGAAGTGAGAAGCTAAACCCCAGCAGGGATTTTCAAATTGTGTTCCTTCTGTGACTCTGTTAAGGAAGTGATTTTGGGGCTTCTCAGATGGTGGAAAGACTCAAGCCACTGGAGATCTGAATCTTTTGCCCACACTTCAACCAAAACAGCTCTTGTTTTATCTATTTCAGGTTTTTATCTTTATATTAACATTTCATTTGATAAAAGGCTTCTGAGGCTTTCCTTTTAAAAGAAAACTGACTATAGGCTATTATAAGTTCCTTACAGCTAAAATTGACTGCACTAACTTTAATTTATTTTATATTTTGGGGGGGATAACTTCCATGAAAATATGATTTAAAAATATTTAATAACTAACTTGTTTAGGAGATTGAAGGGTTTCTTTTTTTTTTTAATTATTCATTTATTCACATGTGCATACATTGTTTGGGTCATTTCTCCCCTCTCCTCCCCTCCCCCCTCTCTTCCAGGCAGAACCTGTTCTGTGCTTTTCTCCAGTTCCGTTGAAGAGTAGAAATAAACAATAATAAGAAAGACATAGCATTTTTGCTAGTTGAGATAAGAGATAGCAATACAGAGAAATTCCTAGCATTGCTTTCATGTACAAATGTGTTACAACTGAGGTTGATTCATCTCTAACTGATCTTCACACTGGTTCCTGATCCCTGAAGGGTTTCTTTTAAAGAAGAAAAAAAGGGCCTTTTCAGAGGTTTACTTACAGAATAGAATCTGCAAGTCATTTTAATTTAAATGTCTAAAACTTTGGCTTAATCCTGCCTCTGAGGGAGTCTGTGCAGTAACCATAGATAGCAAGGAAGAAACACCCATAGATCATCCAGGTTCTCTTCTCCAAAGGAGTCTTGTGGGTGTGGAATGCACACCTCCTCTCAGCCAGCGGGCTACAGAACAGCCCTCAGGATGACAGGGCTAACGGGAGGTTTTTTTTTAACCTTTATTCATATGTGCATACTAATTGGGTCATTATTCCCCCCTTCCCCCCCTTCACCCCCTCCCTTCCCCCCACCCTAATGTGAGGTCTTTTTTTTTTTCTTCTCTGCTGTTACTCTTTGTTTGTTTTTGTTTTTTTTTTAAGTTTTTTTTTATTATTCATATGTGCATACAAGGCTTGGATCATTTCTTCCCCCTGCCCCCCCCCCTCCCTTACCACCCACTCCACCCCCTCCCTCTCCCCCCCACCCCCTCGATACCCAGCAGAAACTATTTTGGCCTTATCTCTAATTTTGTTGAAGAGAGAGTATAAGCAATAATAGGAAGGAACAAGGGGTTTTGCTGGTTGAGATAAGGATAGCTGTACAGGGCATTGACTCACCTAATGTGAGGTCTTGATAAGCACCCCCAGGAGCTCTTTCCCATGGTGCCAGCTTGAGTTTAATCCAAGTTCAGTGATTACTTACTGCCATTCTCAGCTCCTCCACAATGTTTGGGATTTCTAGTCATCAACCTAGATAGCTGAGAACCTAATTAGACTCTTAGGATCAGGACTACTCTTCCTAGTTCTCCAAACAGTCTGTGGGAGACCAAGGCTGTGGCCTCAAGTCTCGTTGGTCAAGGCAAGAGCTTTCTTTATTTCCTATCCTTCTCCTGACAATGAACCCTACTGAAAGAGAATCATCATAATAACAAAGATTAACTCTTCCTAGGCACAAAATATTTGAGATGCATGATTTAATTTAAGCCTACTGCTTATGTGGTGGACACTTGCATATCTCCATCTTTTAGATAAGCAGACTAAGGTCTAGAAAGAATAAATATCCCCAGTTACACAGCCGGTCAGAGATGCATGATTTAATTTAAGCCTACTGCTTTATGTGGTGGACACTGCATATCTCCATCCTTTTAGATTAAGCAGACTAAGGTCTAGAAAGAATAAATATCCCCAGTTACACACCGGTCAGTGTCATAGAGCAGGATCTGAAGCTAGGTTTCCCCTGTCTTTGGTTGAACTCTTACCTTCACAGGATACTTTTCTAAGGACTAAAACCTGACTCAATTCCTTCATTCTCCTAGTACCTAATCACAAAGGTCTAGGCAAATTTCATCTCTAGAAGCAAGTGTCTGTATGTGCAGTTCGACTAGCACAGCTCCATCCTGTGAGTTGTGGATTATACAAGACTGGCCATGGAGTCAGGAAGGCCAATTCAAATGTTTCTATGTAAGAAAGGGGAAGTTTGAATCTGGTCTTGGTTTTGCTCTTGGTTTTTTATTCTTATTTTTTGGGGACAGGGTCTTACTATGTAGCTCAGTCTGGCCTCAAACTGGTGATCACCCTGCCTCAGTCTCTTGAGTGCTGTGCTGGTGGGCACAACTCAGCTGGATCTGATTTTTAACACCGATTTTTTCACTTCAGACCTAGTGTCCTGTTCTTGGCTCAATGTGCTTGTGATATTTCAGAACTTCTCTATGGAAGGATGCACGGGCCTATGGAGTGGTGGGGTGAGAGACAACTTGAGAAGTCATAGTGTTTGAAAATAAAAAGTAAAAATATCCATGCTAGCGTTAGAACAGGAATTACTTAGAAAAAACAAGTTATTTGGAAATGTAAGTCAGGGATCCCTAACTTACAAAGGAATGCCTGGAATGGTGAATGCTGAGCAATCACTTCCCAAATGTAGGGCAGCAGGGGAAATCAAGTATTCTTGCTGGGAAGTTGTTGAAGTTTTAGAGCCAGGAAACTAATAGTAAAGAGGCAGGATTTCCTTGGCCTTCTTTTCCTAATAAATCACATCCTTTATTGTCCAGTAACTTGGAAGAGAAGAACTAAAGAGGCTTTGCCCTTCCTGAGCAGGGACTAGAAACATCTGGGAGTGGGAGGTTCAGAGAGGTCAGTAGGAGGAGGAGGAGAGATAGAGGGAGAAGAACCAGTGCTCTGGGTTTCTTCCAGGAAAGCCCATTTATAGTTCCAAGATTTGGACTGTTAGGTTAAGGGCTGTCTGCACAGCACAGGTTCTCGAAGCCTAGTTAAAACTAGTTATACACTATGGCATAAACGGTTACAAAAACACTGTTCCATAATGCTAGGGAATTGTTTTGTTCTCTCTTGTCTTTTCTATGGATTTTTGAGGGACTTCTCTTCCCACTCATGTTTCTTATCTCCCCTCCTGGGGAGCATACATACCTCTGTCCAGTTTGAGAGAAGCCACTCGCTGGGACAGTCATCTTTTTTGCAGTCTTGCTGGGAGGCCGGTTTGGAGGCTGAGCAGAAGGTCTCAGGAAGTTCTAGGAAGCTGCCATCAGCCATGCGTTGCTTGCAAAGAACCTCACGTTTCTGGGTACCTCCCCACAGGACCTGGAACACTAGGGGAGGAAGGAGAGGCAGTAGAGTCAATGTAGGAAAGGAGAGGCAGTAGAGTCAATCCTCACCTTGGCTCAGTAGAGAGTGTGTTTAAAAACATTTTTTTTTAAGGGAGAAAAAGAAAAGAAAACAAACCAGGGGTCAGGCCAGAGGATTCTTTTTGAAATGAACTTTGTAGCAAAATCTACATACTCTGTGCTCTTAATCCCAGGTGTTTAACTTGAGCATCCCGGAATTTCAGGGCCTCAGAATCTTAGAAATTTGCTCCTGAACTGTGATCTGTAGCTGTCCAGCACAGCTGGTTTTAAAAGGTTAGTATAATAAAGTGTTTAACATATTTATGATCCAGTGAAAATAATCTGTGCTGCTTGCAGAGTGAACCAGAGCGAGCTCCTGCCATCAGAATCAATTTGGAGAAATGAATTTGCAGAGAGGACAGTCCTTTCCCTCCAAATGTGAGCTCTCACTCTACCACTCTGGGAGGCATTAAATTTAGGACCTGGTTTTCTGAAGAACTTCTTTGGAATATTTTTCTTGCTGGGTTGGTGATTCTTAGGGTAGTTGGAGCCAGTGGGGCTGAAATTAGGGATGCAAGAAAAATAGCCTCCTGTCAGTGGTTTTCAGAGGGACCCCAGTAAAAACATTGTTTACATGTAACTTAATAGTTATAATGCAGCCACATGAGCGGGGAGCAAGGCCTTGAGGCACAGACTGTTGGTCGGTTCTGTTTGCTCTTTCTCTTTCAAGAGTCCCCAGTTTTTAGCTTGGCACATGACTTTTCAGCATAGACTGTGTTTGGTGAACTCTCTTGAAGGTAGACACAACCATTTGACTCAATGCTTGCTGATGGGATATTAAAAAAAGAGTCGGGGCAATTTCAGGGAACTCCTGCAAAAGAGGGTGACATCTATCCTCTTTCCTCTCTTCTTGCTGGCTAGAACATATACAAGATGCCTGAAACTGCAGCTTCCATCTTGGACTAGTAAGGACCAGCCTGACTTTCTGTTTGTGAAGCCCTGGTATGCTTGTGTTTATGTGAGACAAATACCTTTCTATCTTCTTGAAGCTATTGTTATTTTGGGTTTTCTATCACTTTTTTTTTTTTTTTAAATCAGATATAACCCCAGCTAACATGTCAACTCACAAGTAGTTGGTGTTGGGGCTAGCTTATTGTGAAATTTTCAGGGAGCTGTGTGTTTTTTTGTTTGTTTGTTTTGTTTTTTTCAGGAATAGTCTAGTCTTTTGCGTGCTATCCTTGAGCTTGAGAAATTAAGCCTGGTTTGAAAGCCTGAGTGTTTGCACTGAAAGAGTGGATCCTACAGCCCATATGTCATCTCTTGCTCATGGTCTTGATAGTGGGTCCATGTTCATAACACTTGGGGGGGGCTGATGCCCAGGCCCCACTTCAGACCATCAGATCAAACATTCTGGAAGTTTTTAAAAGGACTTCCTAGGTCACTGTCCCCCAGATAATTCTATTGTGTAGATAGAGCCACGGACCATCTCTGCAAATCAATGCCCTCCACTATTCCCGGTGGGAATCAAATAAACATAGAAAGGAAAGGACCCAGAGAGTCCTCTTTTTGGAGCAGTGGTGGTTTGGACCCCACTAAGCAAATACCATGTTTTTTGCAGCTGTGAATGGCTTGAGGTCACACAGCTACGGGATAATGACATTAGAAAAGCCACCAATTTTCTTTAGTTAGGTTTTCAATTCCAGAGCCTTTCAAATGATCCTGACCAATTGTGATCAACCTTTTACTTCAATTTATAATTAAAAAAATTCAAAATGAAAATAACATTATTGAGTCCCCTAGGAAAAATATATTTTTGACAGTTCTAGGGTTGGATTCAGGGACTTGTGCTGGCTAGGCTAGCAGTCTACCACTTGAGCCATATCCCAGTCCTTTTGCTTTTAGTTTTTTCTTCAAATAGGATTTTGTGCTTTGGCTCAGGTCAGCCTTAGACCATGATCCTCCTATCTCTGCCTCTCAAGTAGCTGATCCCTCTCTGCATGCAGAACCAACGGGAGGTTCTCTGACACTGCTTCATGTCAAGACCCACAGGCCCGTTGAGAGCCTACCCTCACCCCTCACCCCACTGGAGGGGGGGTGCTTTGTGATGCAAGTCTTAGCCCCCACCCTGTGACTATCCTGACTGATGGAGGTAACTAAGGATCCAGGTTGGGGGCCCAACATTGTAAAACAGGTTATTCTGATGACCCTGGAAACTTGTTCTCCTAAACCCTTTCATTGCTGAGTTGAAAATTTGCATTTGAACATAGCTCCTAGGCAACACACTGAAGCTAGAGCACATATGGTGGTCTGCAGAACTCTTGCTACTTGCCATAAATTCAAAATTCCCTTGAAGGGCTTTCTTAGTGTCTTTTGGCCTTGGTTAAGGAAAAAAAAAAAATCTATGGTCTCAGACCTTTGGTTTTTTTCAGTGATTCCTTGGAATTTTCACTTGTTAGAGAAGCAATTTTTAATTTTAGCTCTTAGTTAGAAGCAATTCAATAAAATATTAAAGGATTTCACTTAAATTCATTTTATACCCACACTGTCCAGAAGAGTGCCTTCTGTGGGTGTAAGTCCTCAAATATTTGTGGCACTGAACTGAAGTTGGTACTTCAGAGAAATTTAAATCAGTGGCTAAGGATTCTATTTACTTAGAATAACCCCTTCTGGTGACTATGGATAACAAAGGCTTCAAATTTAGTTTTATAGTTTTTTGCATGATTTCTTAGGTTCAGCCTTCTCCTATTTCTGTAAATTCTCCTTTCTAATCAACCAGTTATATATAATCAGATTAGTTATAACCTTTTAGCATTCAGTCTTTCTTCAGAATTCTTTTATAACTAGACAACTAACCACGTAAATTTCTAACTCCTAAGAACTTGCCAAACAGAGGGACTGTGTTCTCCACAATACTTTCCATTCTGTGAATTAAGTAAATTTTTTCCATGGACCTAATGTAATTTTTAGAAGCCACAATTGTCTAAGAAAAACAAGTCTATGGTGACAAATCAAGAATTTTAATCTTAGGCTCTGACTTTTCCCTTATGCCTACTCAACATGTCCATTTAAAACCAAGTAGGCATCTCAACATCCAAAACCACAGTCTTGACAATGCCCCTACAACCTCACCCCAAACTGCTCTTCTCTCAAGTCTTTCCCAGTTATTTAGTGTGCCACATCCAGGTTAAAATCATAGGCAGTACCCTTGAGTTTGCTTTTGCTCACCACCCCTTTCTTAACACCAAATTGTGAGCAAATGCTGTCAGATTTCCCTACAAAACAAGCTTTACTTCCAAACTAAATAATAAATCAGGATGTCATGACTTCTTACCTAGGACTACTGCCAGGCTTTCTCACCAGTTTCCCAATGCTATGGTCTGCATGGTTGTGATCCTTTGCCTTCCCACACTGAAATTTTAACTTCCAAAATAATGGGATTAGGAAGCGTATGTATGTGCTGGAGTAGGGGTGGGGAGCTTCTGGGAGGTGATTAGGTCATAAGAGTGAAGCCTTCAAGGATGGGATTAAGCCCTTATACAAGAGGTCCCAGAGAGATAGACGCCTTATCCCATCCAACAAGTGAGAGCTAGAAGGCACTTATCTTGAATGACGAGGAGGGTCCTCACCATATACTGAGTATGCAGGCATCCTTTTTAGATTTCCCTGCCTCCAGATCCTATGAAAAATAAACTTCTATTGCTTAGCTACTAAGTCTATCACATTCTGTCACATCAGCGCTAATGGACTAAGATACAGTTTCTAGTTTTTTCAGACAGGGCCTAGCAGGATATAGATAGTACATTCAAATGTGATAATTTGAAGAGAGCTCTTCCCTCCCCTGATGACTGCTGGGAACCATACTGGTTGAGCACACCTAGAAACCAGAGACAAGGAAGCTAATGCAATCTACACAGGCAGGCCTCCTGGGGGAAAAGGAGGAGAAGGGGAGAAAGTGCACTGAGAGGAGTAATGGAAGGTATTCAGCAAGTCACCATGCTCCGCAGCGGTCCATTTTAGGCTCAGTAGCAAGAGTGATGTTTTTAAAGCCTAAATTGGGTAGTATAATTCCCATGCTTAAAACCCTCTAGTGGTATTTCCTTGCAATTGGAATGAAATTGCAAGTCCTCGAAACCCTGCCCTGCAAAGTTCTGCAAGTTCTAGTCCTGATGAAAACTCAAATCCTTCCATCTTCATTCATTCCACATAAATTTATTAAATACCAGTCAGGAGCAGTCAGAGAGAACCAAGCATGGTTCTCTCTAGGTGAAGATACAGAAGCCTGTGTGCTTCTACCTTCTGCAGTCTCATCTATTTAGTTTTCTTTCCCTGTGTATCCTAGCAGCACTTGTACTTGTTTGTTCCTCAGACTTGCCAAGCTTGTTTCTCCCACAGGTAATTGTATTACTTTTTTTTTTTTTTGGCAGTACTGGGGTTTGAACTCAGGGCCTCAGGCTTCCTAGGCTTGCTAGGCAGATGCTTTACCACTTGAGCCATTCCACTAGCCCTGCACTTACTATTGGCTCTACCTGGACCATTTTTCTCTTAGATCTGCATGTAACTGATCCTTTCTAATACTAATTCAAGTTCAACTCCATTTATAATCTGTATGGAAATGCTATCCTAGCTGTCCAGCTTTTTGCTTATCCAGAAACATCCATGACATCCAAAATCAATCTCTATTACCTCATTTTATTTATTTACTTATAAATAACAAATAAATAGGGATTGAACTCAGGGACTTATTCATGCTAGGCCAGCACTCTACCACTGAGCTATACCCCAGGTCATTTTATTATTATTACTCATTTTTATTTTTAAAATTTGATTTTTTGGTTTTCTGAGGCAGGACTTCACTATGTAGTCCAAGCTGACCTCAAACTGGAGATTCTCCTGCTTCAGCCTCCCATGTGTTGTGTGTACCACCATGTTTGGTTCATTTTTTTTTTTAAATAGCATTTTTTTTTGTAGTGCTAGGGATTGAACCC